CTTTTGTAGTGATACCTGGTACCTTTAGGACTACATTTGCCTTCTCTGGCTTGCTTGTCCATGGTTCTGGCCTAAGTTTTTCGCACAGTGCTACATCTCTTTCAAGCAGATCTTGGTGCTGTCTGTACAGTTCTCTAGCAAGGTGGTTGGGGCTCTGACGCTTCCGTCTGTTTTTTGTTCTCTCTTGAAATTTAAAATGCAGTGGGTGACTTTGACGTCTTTTTATTTTCTCATACTGTAAAAGAGTTTTGTATTGTCTTCTGAGTTCGAGTGGTTCAGTATATGCTATCCTCTCTATCTCTCTGATCGGGGTGGTTTTCATGGCTCCGAGAACAATCCTTAATTCCATATTTTAAACCGTGTCCAGTTTTCCCACTGTTGTCTTGGCTGCTGCAGCCCATGCAGTGGAGGCATATTCCATGACTGGCCTGACTGATCCAGTATATACTTGTTTTAGGATTCTGGAGTTTGCGCCCCATGGGGTACCCGCTAATTTTTTCATGACTGCAAGCTTCTTGAATGCTTTCCCTTGTACTGCTTCTACGTGTGACTTCCAAGTTAGTCCCGAATCAAATGTAACGCCAAAAAAGGTAGGAGTATCAGTCTGTGGAATGAGCTGGTTTTTTATCCAAATTTCGCCTTTGGGGGGGGGGGGGGGGGGGCGGAGAGAGAAAAGTGATGCTGTGCTTTTTGAATTATTTAGCTTTAGATGATTAGACCCCCACTTTTTTTCGGTCCAGGGCTTCTACATATTTTCTCCACAATTTTCTGTAACAGATATGAGGCTGTGGTAGTGTATTCGGAGGCTGTCCAAACTGCAAAGTCATCAGCATGTAGGGTATTATAAACGTGCTGGTAGCAGGTTGCTGTGATATCATTTTGGTAAACCAGGAACAGAGTTGGTGCTATCGCACTGCCCTGGGGAACCCCTTCTCTTAGTTTTGCCAGTTTGCCGATGTGTCCATCAATTCTGAATCTGGCTCTGCGTTGGAAAAGAAAGTCTTGGATCCACTTATACATGTGCACAACTCCTGCCTGTAGCAGTTTTAGTTTTAGGCCCTCTTTCCAAACTGTATCAAAAGCACGAGAGAGGTCAAAGAAGACAACAAGAACTTTCTTTTTTTCCTGGAAGACATTCTCTATTTCTTGTGCCAGTTATGTCAACTGGTCCTCTGTGTTTCTGTGCTGTCTGTATCCTGTCTGTGTGGTGGTGATTACAGTTTGTCTCCAAGAACCATATTAGTCTTTTATTTCCTAATTTCTCCATCAATTTTCCTACACAACTAAGAAGGCTGACTGGTCTGTAGCTTTTTGGGTTAATGGCTCTTCAAAACACCAGGATATGTCGTAGAAATTACATCACAGAGATTTTCTTGGCCACAGTTTATCTAAACACAAGAGAATGCATAGTACTAATTATGTGGGTGCCAGCGCATGTGGGAATTAAAGGAAATAAAAGGGTAGATGGGAAAGAAAAATAAAAGCACAACAATGAAATAAGTGTAGCTATGAGTAAGGATGATTGTGATTCAATAATTTAAAAAAGATTAACAGAAGAATGGACAAGGGTGTGGAATGGGAGCATAAAGGAAAGGCATGCCTACAAATTGTTTAAGGCTCCAACTAGAAAATGTCAAATTGCAAGTGAACTAACAATGGCTAGCAAAAAAAAAAAAAAAAAAATTACTGAGACTGCAACTTGGAGTGGCTAATTTCACTTTAGTCCTTGTGTCAGGTATATAATGGTATTGAACATTATTTATTCTACTGCAAGAAATATGAACAAAGGACCTCCCTAATGAATATATGATCCGTTGCAATAAGCATATGACAACTGAAAACATCCTAGGAGTAGATGTTTCTAGAGAACTATAAGGGAAGGACTAAACAGCAATAACGAGAACATGGATTCGCATATGCGATGTTAATATACCTTAAGACTGAACAAAGGGATTCCATTTTTCTTTAAAACGGTCGGCGTAATGCTGACCACATTACCGATTACATTACAGTGCCGATTGATCTGAAAAAATATGGGTGCTCTTCCCATTTGCCCGATGTGCCTAAGGCGTGAAAAAAGGGATCCTTACTTTACTTTTTTTTATATATAACTTTATATATCCGCAAAGAGAGACTGCACAGTATAACTACTATAATTGTTTTAAAGTACATGTAAAATATATTGAATGTGACAAACCATTAGCATGGTCCCTATACTCGTGTGGCGCCCGTGAAATCGCCCAAAACTGGCCTATACGTTAAGGTGGCATTGAACGTATTTCGGATAGGTAAGTGCTTTGCTTTGGTGGAGGGGGGGGGGGAGTCGTCTTTAACCAGCATCCACGAAGGAGGAGCTTTAGGTTATAGCTGTGACTAGGTTATATGCGCCATATAATATGGCTTAGCATTGCACACCACCACGAGCCATAAAAATAACTCCTGCATTGTTGATGAGATCAAAGGAGACAGACCCAAATACCATCCCGACCTGCGACGAAGTCGTCTACAGGCAAGCTAATGGACGACACAGTCGCCTATCTTCTTCTTCTTTCTGTTTGTCTTCATATTCTTCTTCTCTTCCATCTTTTACCTTATCGAAGTGTCGGGGAGAGAAGTAACATTCGTTGATAAGCTGTGTCAAGAGCACTACAAGATCCGACAATTAAGTAATGTGACTAATTCCATAAAACTTAAAATAATCAACAGTTGAAGATATCATCATCATCAGTTCTCATTATGCCTAGTGGCACATGAGGCTTCAGAAAGGGCCCTCCGTGCTTTCCTGTCCTGTGCAATCTTCAGTGCAGTTTTCCATATCAAAGATGACGCACTCAGGTCACTTTCCATCCATCGTCTCCATGTTGCTTTTGGGCGCTCCTGTTTTCTCTTTCCCTCTGGTGTCCATGTGAGAGCTGTTTTGGCAGGTATATAAGGATTCATTCTCATAACGTGGCCAAGCCATTTCCATCTTCTCTTGGTTATCATACTGTCTAAAGTTTCTTGGTTTGTGACTTAAAGTAGTTTAGCGTTTGAGATTGTATCTGGCCAGAAAATTTTGATAATTCTACGTAGACATGTGTGGTAGAAGGTGGACAGCTTGTGTGCATCTTTTTTGGTCATTCTCCAGCATTCTGCTCCATAAAGAAGAACTGGCGAAATGAGGCTCTTGTAGAGTCGGAGTTTCGTTCCTCTGCAGTAACTGTTGGATTTCCAGATTTGCCTCATCCTTCCAAAAGCAGTTCAGTCGCAAGCACCTCTCGTCTTCCGTTCGATCGCTGACCCCTCATTCGTGGCCCGATTCTCGATAACTAGATACTTGACACCGATTCGCTTGACATTCGGCTGAGTCGGTCTTGACTAGTTATCGCACATTCGGCGTTGCGGATGAGGTTTCAGCAGCCAGTTGTAGCACCATTTTGTAAAACGATTGTCTAGAGAACTGTGGAGAAAGCACGCTTGGTGTCCTTCTCAGGACACTCAACAAGTCTTGCCGATTCCGCAGGGATCTAGCTTTCGGTATATACCGCCATTGAACAGCAATTTTTCCATCATGGAAAAAAACAGGCGCAAGCAGCGCAACTAAGTCAAAGAATGATGCGGGCCACACCTAACAACACTGCCGCAGCTTCTCCACCAGCATTAGAGACAGGTGCCCCTATCGTGGCGTCTCACAAGGAGATGAATGGATTAAAACAAATGCGTGTTCTCAACCATCCACTCTATTTCCCCGGATTTGTCTACCTGTGACCTGTAACTGTTTTCTATTCCCAAAACTAAACTTGTCACGCAGTGCATATACTAAAATTGGAACGATACAGAAAAGATTATCATGGCCCCTGCGCAAGGATGACACGCACATTCGTGAAGCGTTCGAAAGAACGCTAGTTTGACAATATTGATGACATCCAAAGGGCCGTAACATAGACTTTAAGGCCATAACAACAGAAGAACTATAGAGGTCGTTCCAGTGTTTATTAGGTCGTGCCACTTGCTGTATCATTAAAAAATGCTCCTTGCCCTTATAATTAATCCAGTCATCTTGTGAGATGCAATTTTTTATTATTAGAAGCCACAACCATGGCTCTTGCCAGAGGCTGCAATATAAAATTTGTAAAAAATATTGTAATAGCTGAACGCTGTTTCTGGGACCTCTCCACTGTGATCCTCATCCACATGGTGGCACTTTCTGTCATCGGGTGTTTACCGCTTGTGTGATGTCCTAGTGGGATAAAAATCTACTACTACTATTTTCTTGCCCAAATCTTCCACTAAAATTTTACAAATAGTGTCTGTATTTAACACCTAATTATCTAACATCATCCTTACAGTCGAACAACGATCTTCTTGTATCCGTTCTCAGAATTTTGCAATGAGTTCCTCATTACGTACAGAAATTGGGAGTCCAGAAATAGCTGCATTAGTAATCAATTCCACGCCATTTTTGAATCGTGAATACCAGCTGAAAACCTGTGCACGAGATAAACAATTATCTCCACAAACTTGTCGCATCAATTAAACTGTTGCAATGGTACTTTTCTGAGTTTTAAACAGAATGTAATGTCAGCTTTTGTGCTCCAAGCTGATTACATAACAATGCACCTCTGACTAGGTTCACAAAGTGGCGGCTTGTTTGTTGTCTGCTTATCAGGCGGCGATGAAAAGTTGACAGATCAAAGACGAAGGTTGTCTCTTTGGATTTCATGCTGTTAATCATAGATGGCATTTTTGTTCATAGATATAACAAAATCAGTCTCATTACCTAATTGTCGAACCTTGCATAGTTCTTTTTTAGTATTACCTTTTTTTTTTGCGTTCTGTCTTCCATCATGTTTACCTAGTTTAAATAACCTCATTTTAACAAAAATATTAATTTTTTTTTCTAACTGCTTGTCCATCACAATAAAACCTCAGTCGTACAGTGGTAAGAACTTTTTGTTATCGAGACGGCAGGCAGAGTTCAGTGTTCCTCAGAGACTCAACCCTTTCACCCCCGTAAATGCTTAATGAAATGGGCTGTGGGAATAGGATCGACATGGAAACCAAGGCCAATTTTTTTTTTCTCTCCAAAATAAGCATCTAGCCGATTCGAACTCAAAACCTTCATGCCGACAAACAATCATCCAGCCGTGAGCTCCCTCGAATCCCGTATACCATTGTTGTAGACATAGCGCTGACGAACATAAGTAATTAAATGTTAATGAAGTCATTTCAAGTTAATACTTTTCTTCTAAAGTTGTGTCCCGAAAAAACGGTCCAACACGAAGTAAAAACATATAAATTTTTAAAATATTTGACGAATACTCAAAATTCAGTAACTGTCAATGCATTTTATAGCTGTCTCTTCCGCTATTGCATAAAATTTGCACGCGCGCTGCATTTTGTATTTCAGGGAAAGAATTGCCTTCTCTTTCTAAGAGGTGAGTAGACTTGTCAACACATTTTTTGTTTCATTTACCTGTTGATATTAAAAATTATGCATAATTAAAAAGAACACTCATTTTTACACGAATATGCAAAGTTTCACCTAGCAAAGATAACTACCAAGCCCTAAAAATTAATTTGGGAATTGCATGGTGTGACAACACATAGCGACAAAGTTGCCGTCAATTTGTCTAACGTAACAATGATGTTTGAAGTATTTAAGATATTCAAAGCTTATTGCCTTTCAAAACTACACAGACCAGCCACTCTAGTATTTATGTTTATTAATTTTTTTTTACAAGCCTATTAAGACCACCAAGGCTTTTTGATCGGATTGCAAATTGCATCAATAATAGGTTGCTTACGTAAAAAAAAAAAAAAAAAAAATAAAGACAGTAACAACTTGAAAGCCTTTTATTTTTACACATACACTGTCCTTTTATTTTTCAACATAATTGCCACCAACATTGATGCACTTGTCCCATCGTTTTATCAGTTCTCCCAAAGATGCTGCATAGAACTGCGTGCTTTGTTTTCTAAACCACATTTTCACTTCACATTCAACTTCTGCGTCATTCGTGAATTGTCTCCCACCTAGGTGGATTTTCAGTAGACCAAAATACACGTGAGCACCCTATTGCAGCTGCTAAAGAGCCAACCGTTACTTGCCTGTCACTTGTAATCATCTCCTCCACTCGCTACACGGATGTGCCGCGCCGATAAGCTATCTCACAGAATCACTGTCACAGAGAAAACATGGAGGGAAGCGGGGAGGGTGGGGGTGGAGTGCTCAAGATTCCTGAGCCTAAAGGTTCCAGTCCCTATGATCACAGGTCAGGTCAGTGTTCTTTTGTCGCCATTTCCTGTGTGTTCGCCTCACTTTATCAATCTTGCCAGTTGTCACCAAATTCTTAAGTCCATCCCTTCTCATAACGTGCCTGAAAAACACTTAACGTCCAATTTTCCTAATCAGTTTTTATGTCTCTAGGAGCGCTGCTTCATTTTTTTTTAAAATCCTAAAAATCTCAGTCTGGGCGGCAGACCAAGTAACGCAGATCACAACTATGCGTCCAGTCTTCAAAGGACACTCGAAACGGCTACACCATGACGGGTGTAACCTCAAGTCCTTTGAGGGTAAGTACGGGTCCTATCTCTTGCCTGCAGCTCACCCCTATGCCTTCTTCTTTCGGTCTTGTTCATTTCTCGCACGTTCCTGTAGGTTTTAGCGTTTTTCGTCAATACTGATATATCAGGAAGCGGCCGTGGTATAAGAGTTAGACGCTCGCCTGGAGATGCAAAGGTCATGGGTTCATATCAGGACAGGGTACAAGTTGCGTACTCCGCCCGAAACAAACACTTCACGTAGTCGAGCGAGATTTCTTGACCTTTCACTCAGGCTCGGTGACCTTCACACGCGCTGTTACAGTAGTGTCACGTTGAATAGTCTTCGGTGTTTTCACAGGCGATATCGCGTGGCATATATTACACAATGTCACTGATTTTAACGACCCCAAAACATCTAGAACTGGCCCCAACCCCAATCCCACGAGAATGTGCAGCCTAGGTCCCACGAGTGTATACAGCCTGTCAAAACTGATTATGAGTCAACATTATACTCAAAGTTGGAACTACAGTAGAGTTCCAAAATATAGTCAACTTTATTATAAGAACTTGTCGGTCTTAGTCGAGGTTTCAACTTCACCTCAGCTGGGTCACCCCATACTTGCTCCGTTCCTACGTTAGTGAAAATCAAATGAAATGTTCCTCACTTTACCTTTTGAAAAACTAGTGAACAATAGTCCCAGCACAATCTAGAAATATGCGCTTGCAGTAAATGTATATGGCAGCTGCTAGAGGTGCCAACAGTTGCCACCAGAAATGTAGTTTGTCGCTAATGGAAGTATTGGGTCACAATTAGTTGTCTGCAAAGGATGCAGTAGTAAAAAGTGGCCAACAGATCATTGTCAATTGTATTGTATTAATGATGTATCTATGCTGGAGTTCGGACCTGTGACCATCCCTATTCTCAAAATGGCCTCCGAGCAGATCTAGTTGAATAGGACTGAAGCTTTGATGGCTCTAAAATAGTGCTCAGATAACCCCACTTATTTTTCAAATATAGTCAGAGCTATATGGCCAATAAGAGAAACAATATATAGTAAAACAAATACCAACCACACATATCATTAGCTACCACCACAGGAGGGTTGGCATGAGACTACTTGGGAAACATGTGTTGCAACATCTAATAAATCAAAATTAAGCTACAAAGACTGAGTGAGTTGGTTGAGGTCCTACACTTCACTGGGAGATTAAAGAACAACAAATATGTGTGATGTTAATCACAATCATCATGTAGCATGTCCTTTACAGAATGTTGATCTCACCATGGTGTGCCTGAAAGAAACTCTTGCCTAAAATCCTTCTATAGCATTTCAGCTCAAAAGCCTGTATTTTCTTTCTGAAAGACTGGGAGATAGTCCACGACTCATGCTCGTATGCTGCTACAGGGAAGATGCATGCTCTCAAAATGTTAATTTTGATTTCCTTCATGATGCTTAAACAGACTTCTAATGCTGTTTAATCTTTGCATTGCTATGTCTATCATGCTTTTGATTTCTGTCAAACAGCATCTACTACTTTTTATTATAGATCCTAGATATTCAAAGTTTGTGACACTTTCAATTGTGTTTTTTCTTCAATTCAGTTCAACAATATTTTTGGACAGACATGATTAAATGTTCTGTTACCTTTACACCCCTTAAAAGGAGGACTGTGTCATCTGCATAGTGAAGTTCCGGTATAAGGCAGCTACCAATTATAAACAGTTCATAACTGTCGCACGTCTGGCCATTTTTAATGGGAAAATATTTATGTTTTTTCTATCTTTTTAGCATTCACAGCTGTGAAATTCCGGTTATTTACCCACTTCTGGAATTTGGTCTGGTTCCAAACTTAGGTTTTAAATGCAAATCTGTTTTACCAATCTATCTTATTTGTTTGCATACTGTTGGTTCCTTGCCTCTTGACTTCGAAGGAACCACTCCTAATTAGCAACCTTTTACAAAAGGCTTGTTGAGGGGAAGGGCACTAGCTGGTCTATTCCCCTCCCCTTTCTTTAGATGGGCCCCCAAACTAAACACGGGTAACTGAAGAATATGAAATAACACAAATGATGTGAACTAATGTGTTTATTAAGTCAAAGTGAAATTCATTATTAAATGACATAACTGACCCACTACAATAACCATTGCCACATTACAATAGCCCTCTAGTAGACATTGGGCAAACAAAACAAAGTGTAAACATACAAATGTTAAGACAATAAATGCACTGATAATGAGACCACAAAGCAATATACACTTCATCCTGCTTTGAAGATAATAACAAAGCAATAGCAAACTTACTGAACATAAAAGTGGCCTGTAAAACCACAAAACGTCCCCCTCTCCCAGTTTTTGATTTGTACCTGTAAAGGATGTACAACAAACCTTTTTTTTTTAAACTAAGCCCGAACAAGAAGACAAGTTAGTGCAACACTACCAACAAAAAAGAGTACTCAAAAATAAATTTGCATTAAAAAATTCAGGCCCAATGTGTCGTTAGAAGATAAAACAATATTGATGAATTCTGCTCTAAACATTTGCAGCTATCTGCTGTATTAAATGTTTCCTAATTTTAAAAAAAATGTTTAAAACAGCTAGGGATACACATTATAAATGATCCTTATGATACGACCATAACTATAAATCACATGTGGGTATGTGAAAATTCAGGAATTAAATCTTTAAAAAAAAAACTGCAAGCTTTCACTCACAAGAACCAAGTTCTGATGGGTAAAGTTCAAGATACTAAAAAAGACTGGAACAAAATTATTCTTAAAAATCACTCTGAGAGATGCTGAAAGTCAGTTGAAAATTACCAAATGCCCCACAAACATTAAGTATATTACAATGGAACAATAACTATGTGTAAAGAAAGCAATAAGCAGCAAAAAACAATTTCATGACAATTTGAAAACAGAATCAAAGAAAAAATGTTTTCTTACAATACAAAATGAGAAAATCATTTTTTTAAAAAGACATTAGGAAAAAGACTAATACATGCATTATTTACAAATTAGGCCCTGGTAGTCAAATGGCTCACAATCTGTGGCTTTGATTTAATCTAAAGGATATTCCCCCCCCCCCCCCCCCCCCCCCCCCCCCCGATGCTTTCTATTAAGTGCCTTCTGATCAAAGGGAAAAAGAACATACACAAAAACTTCAAGTGTGAGTTCCAGTGCTTTATTTAGGGAAGAGAAAATAATAGTCCACTGACTTTTAAGCAAGTATGTTGCTAAAAGTGCCTAATATTAGGTTAAAAGGTGCAGATATTGCAGACTTGATGTAAACCACAATTCAATGTGCCAACTGAATTTTTTATGGCCAATGGCAGAAGAAGAAATGTTTTTCCAACAGTTTAATAATATGTAAAAGGACCCCTTTACCATATAAATGATCTGACAAAAGCAAATGTACAAAGCAATACAAGGAGCCATAAGCAAATAGTATATGGAAACAGTTCTTATGCTTACCAGTGAGAACACAAATTCTGCATCATGTGATGATCAGCAACACGGCAAGAGTAGAGATCTAACTCTCAGTACAGAACAATACTATCGGTATCAAACAAATTGTACAAACCATAATCATCATTAAATTAGTTCAGCTGACATGGGTGGAAACATGCAGGACAGTCAATGACAAATTTGGGATGCTAGTCAACAAAGAGATATTTCCTGGAGAACTGCAGAGTGACAAAACCCCTGTATGCATGCATATGCTCTCAGATTTTACTTGGGATCAGAGGTGCATAACCACATGTGGTATGGTGGTGCTCTGGGGCTAGGTCACAAACTGACAAGATCTATCTACGTTTCTCCGTAATCATTGAAACAGCCAGCAGCCTAGCTAAAAACAACATTTCCTTGAAAGTCAGATCGCATCCACCGGAGAGGCGACGAGGAACCTCCACACAATATGCCAGAGCTGTACAACAGATGTGCATGCAAAACTGCAAAATTCTGCAGCAGTTTAATCTCTATATGTGAAAGAACAATGAAGATTTCCATGCCACAGTTTACAAAAGCTGAAGGCAGATTATGCTTAATGTTGGATGCTGCCCTGGTTTTAAAACCTCACAAGATAAATTAACCTGTATGTAAAAGTTAGGTGAAAACTACAATATTAACGCCTAAAAACAGTTCACAGATCATAAAATGACATGGTTAAAATTTAATGTCGATATAATAGCACAACAAAGCAGAATTTAGGAGTACAGAACTTTTTGTTGGGCAATATCTGACAGAATTTTATAAATCTACCTAGAGCAGCGGTTTTCAAACTGCCAGTAGCGACCCTTTTTGGGTCAAAGATTCTTTCATAGGGGTACTAAGACCATCGGAAAACACATATTTATTGCAGCTATAAAGGAAAATAATTGTTTGGGGATCGCTACAACATGGTGGAACTTTATTAAACCGTAAAGTCATGGTGCACTTTTGACAGGTCACAAAAAAGAAATGTCTTCACCAAATGAAATGAAAATGCTCCAAGTTGCACATCATACTGCAAAACTCGGAGAGTTTCCCTTTTATTTGGTGGAAGACATTTCTATCTTCTTTCATTGCTTTCCTGTAACCAGTCAAAAATGCACCATGACTTTATGGACAGTGTGTGTGCGCACATACGTAAATAAAACTGCAATGAGCTTATTTTCAACAGTTAAGACTGGCTGTTATGGTTACAAGTAATAATTTGTATTATACTCTAGTCAGTCACAAGAACACACAAACTATCAGCAAAATAATTTGTATTACATTTTAGTCACAAAAACACGCAAACTATAAGCACATGAAAACGAGCATGTATGCTGCCTCTTCATATAGCATATTGACTGTATTATAACTAGCCAAAAGCTTCTTCAGCTCTTCACCACAGCACCATACAGGCAAAGCAGAAAGCCCCTATCGTGCCAGAGCCTATTATTGGGCATTTGGGACTAACACCTTTTTCTATAGTCACCTCTACTTCCAACATTTCTTCGTACCAATTTTAGGCAGAGCCAATCTAAAATCGCAAGTGAATATTTAAAGTCAGATTCTTATGGATCATCCTTATGACCACATGGCTGACAGGTCTGTGGGCTAAAGGGCTGCCTTCGGTATCATACTTGATTATATAGTATGTTTCACTTGTAGTTTGTTGGGCCAGTCAGGTTCGTGACTGCAAATTGGCACGACAGTACAAATGATACAGCCCCCTTAATTTTGCAATGCACAGATGGAACGAATATAACAGAGACACAGTAAAAATGGAAATCCAAGAAAACAAGGAAAACACAGATAATAAAAGCAGAGTTTCTAGTGTTCTACGTCTATTCACTGACTTTTACAAGCCCTAACCAATATCCTTCAACAGTTACACATTTCAACTGCCTCAAGCATTCTTCAGCGACTGATCTGTTTACTGCAGGCAGTATATGAAACATGTATTAGAGGGAACATCACTGTTTGAAAGTGGCAATGTGTCAACTTGAGTTGCAAGGCTTGTAAGACCCCAAATCTCAACATGCTGCCCAACCGAAATGATGAACAATACTGTTTCCCAAAACACCAATTTGTACAACAATATAAAACAAAACCAACTAAAATATCATTAAGTGAAATCATTTTGTCAAAAACGACAGGCCACAGTGAATATTCTTATTTCAACAACAACAAAATAACTGCCAAAGACCACTAACATGTATGATGCTAAGTCTATCAATCTTCATGCCCCCCCCCCCCCCCCCCCACGTACTGCTTCATTCTAATAGTCGCTACTACTTCTGTAACAAAAAAGTTATGACATGACATTTTAGCCTATTTCTTAATAATATTCAAAAAGGTATGCGTACATACAGCTGCCATAATGATGATCAACAAGCCTGCCAGATAAAATATTTATATACATAAGTACAAGACAAGGCAGCAGTACATCAGGCAATTACAATCTTCTCCGTCTGGTTGCAACAGCCGACTTTACTGCATCAGATATGAGCACCTGCAGATTTACTTTTTCCTTTGCTACCTGAAACTGCCAAAGAAGCTTTAGCCCCGCCTCGTTTCTTTGTGGGAGGTGATGCTATGATTTCAACGGTTGATGCTTTCTTTTGCCTGCCCTGTCTGCCTTTTAATGGCGATGGTTTTGGGGTTGGTGTTATGACGTCTGGTACTGAAGCTGCTACTTTAAGTGCAGCATTCTTCTTAGGTCTGCCTCGTTTGCCTGTAGAGGGTGGGACTACAATTTCAACCGTTTCTGCTGCCGCAGCATTCTTTAACTGACCTCTTCTGCCCTTTGCAGGTGAAGATGGGACCACAGAATCATTCTTTTTGGCTCTGCTTTGTTTTCTTGGAGGTGAAGTCACAATGTCAACTGTTTCTTCTTTTGCAGCATTCTTACCTGGCCTCGTCTGCCTTTTGCAAGTGAAGATGGAACTACAGAATCATTCTTTTTGGCTCTGCTTTGTTTTCTTGGAGGTGAAGCCACAATGTCAACGTTTTTTTTCTTTTGCAGCATTCTTAACCTGGCTCGTCTGTAACCTTTTTTTTTTTTTTTTTACATATTCTTTTTTTTTTTTCTTTTTATATTTTTTTTTTCTTTTTTTTGCAAGTGAATTTTTATGTTCTTTTTTTTTTTTCTTATAATACAGAATCATTCTCTTTTTGGCTACTTTTTTGCTTTTGTTTATTTCTTTTTCTTTTGGGTGAAGCCACAATGTCAACTATTTCTACCTTGTGCAGCATTAATTTACTCCACACCCCCCCCTGGACCCTCAGTCCAGACAGACTGCCTTTTGCAAGTGAAGATGGAACTACAGAATCATTCTTTTTGGCTCTGCTTTGTTTTCTTGGAGGTGAAACCACAATGTCAATTGTTTCTACTTGTGCAGCATTCTTTACCTGGCCTCGTCTGCCTTTTGCTGGTGAAGACTGAACTAAAGAAGCATTCTTTTTGGCTCTGCCTGGTTTTCCCGCAGGTGAAGCCACAATGACAACTGTTTCTGCATTTGTAGCATTCCTTTTAGGTCTGCCTCGTTTGCCAGTAGAAGGTGGAGCAATTGTTTCTGCTGCTGTAGCATTATTTTGGATCTGCCTTGTTTTCCCAAAGAAGGTGTAGCTAAAACATCAATAATTTCTGTCGCTGAAGAATTCTTTTTGGGCCTGCCTCGTTTGCCTGTAGATGGTGGAGCTAAAATAACTGCTTCTGCTGCCTTCTTCAGCTGACCCTTTCTGCCTTTGGGTGGTGATGAGGAAATTGGAGAAGCTACAATGGTAGGTACAGATACAACCTCAGCACCTTTCTTGGATCTGCCACGTACTTTTTGAGAAGAGGCTGTAATAAGTTTTTGGACTTTTCGCTCCGACATTCTGTCCTTTTCGAGTTGCTCTTGGTTTTACTGGTGTAACAGGCACTGAAGACTCTAACTTGATCTTTTTTGCAGGCACAGAGGTAGACTTCACTGCCTTGCGCTTATTACCTCCTGAAATTATAAATTAGTAAAGCCCTATAAGTTAGACTGAATGAGAGTGGTTACTTATTAATTATACACCCCTTATCCCACCACTGGAGTACAGGCTAATGCTATGTGCTTGAAGGTGACATATAAATTGTCGGAGGGGTTAACCTGTTCGCAAACAGTAACGCTTAGAAAACAAAACAAAAGGGGCACGAACCTAGGAATTCCCTGCCCTCACAAATAAAAAAGATGAAATCAAGCATTTTACAAAAATCACTAATAAATATTACAATAACAACAATTTTTTTGGGGCAACTTCTCAAAGCAAGTGTTAAGCAAAAAGACACTGCGCTTCAAATATACCGAATACATCATAAGTTCTTTTACAAGAACGAGTTTGTAAGATCTACACAGAGCACTCTATCACGAATGGAATTCAGTCTCAAGAGGACACCCCCTACCCCCCAGCTATTTTTAATAATTTCATACCAAGTCCTCCTAAACAGCGAGTAGGTGCAAAGAGAACTCAATGTAATTAACTGGTCTTTCTAGGAGCAGGCCACAGCAGAAGTGCAACTTATCGAGGTGAGCAAAGGTACTAACTGAACTATTTAAAAAAAAAAAAACTAGACAAAATCGGAAGTTGTGTCATGAGAAAGAGTTGACTGCTAAACAGTCATTCATCATGTATGGAGTTGAACAGTCAACACGTGAGCAAAAAATGCATAAATTCAGCAAACATTTGCCAACTCAAATTACACGGGGATTCCCAAGTCTGAGCTAAAAACAAGCTGACAGGTGGTATTCATAAAAAAAAAAAAACATACCTGCTGGGACCAAACCTTTGTTCATGTTAACTGAGTGTTTTAAGCCAGGTTCGTGTTAACAAGGGTTTACTGTATGGTTTATAAAAATTGAGTCCAGCCTCATATGCCCGATGCGCCACTGTTGTGAAAAGGGAACCTTTACTTTTAGTTATGGTTTTACTGAAGAATGAGAAAAACAGGGGCATTTTTTTTTCCCAAAGCAATTCGGTGAACAGCAAGTGAAAATAAACTGCATAATTTCCTCAGAAGAAGGGTGGGACAAAACCTGGAACAAAAGGAAATCTTAAAGGGAATAAAATCTTGTGGTTGACAAGAGAGAATGAATGCTGCCTGTTTGCACACAGCATGTATAAACACTTGCCCTTTCTACAAAGGAAATATATGAGACAAAAAAGGTAGCACATGCGAGAGAAACATGAAGGCCAACACCATATGATTTACTCTCTGACAAAAAGGTTAATGTATTTTTTTAAAACTTACCAACTTGTTTTCCTTCTTGAGGTACATCGTTGCTCAACACAGGTGAACCTTGTGCCACAGACGGCTTTGCCCCCCTCCTGCTTGATTTTCCAGGTAATATAGATTCAGCAACTAGGGAGGGCTCATTCCTTCTTCCACCTCTACGTTTGTTGGGGCTATTCGTGGCAGCTGTAGTTACTTGTAAAATTACTTCTGCTTTACCTCGCCTGCCTCCAAGTTTTGCAACAGTAGATGTGTTATCTAATAAATTTTCCACAATCTGGGCTTCCCCTTGCCTAGTACTAGCAGTAGTTCTGGTAGACGGCTGGCTTTCCTTTCCATCTGATGGAAGAACAGAAGCTTTAAAGGGTGCTTTACCTGGTTGGCCACGGGTGGCAGTTTTACTAGATTTAGCTTTTACATCCAATGCAACTGCTGATGTATCTTCAACTGATGCAGATTCTGTGCTCTTCGATTTACCTCGTCCACCTCTTTTAGCCACTTTAGGAGATAGTGTTTTCTCAACAACAGCAATAGAAGTTTTACTGTGCCGAACCTTTCTGCCAGCAGTCTCAACGTCAACATTCAGTGAAGCTCCACTTTGCACATGTACTGGTTCCTCAATTTGTACTCCGCCACGCCTTCCTTTAGATATTGGTTCAGCTGTTTCAACAACAGCAAGTGTGGTATTTTCTTGAGCTTGGGCAGTTCCCTTGGACTCCTTGATCTGAGCTTTACTCTGTCTGACCCGAGGACCAGCTTTGGGTGGGGATGTGATATGTTTGCCAGCAACAGATATTCTGCCTGTCTTGATATTTTGTTTATTTTCAGCTGGGCCTCGTCTTCCACGGATACCAACTTGGGAGGTGAGAGAGCATCAGCCAGACTGAATGTCTCTTTGATCTGGGCTTTCCCTTGTCTACCACGCGCACCAACTTTGGGAGGTGATACGATTTGCTTACCAGCAATTTTGGGTTTTTCGATATTTACTGCATCCTCCTGAACTGCAGCTTGGCCTCGTCTACCACGGGCAACAACTTTGGGAGGTGACTGGACATCAACGTCACTCACAGTAGATGTGGAGGTTTCTACTAATGCAGCTTTACCCCGTTTTCCACGAGGACCACCTTTTGAGGGTAATAAGATGTATTTATCACCATCAGCCATTGTGACTCTCTCAACATTAACTGAAGACTGCCTCATCTCAACTTGATATTTTCTGCCACGGACACCAACCGAGGAGACAGCAGCAGGCGAACCTATACTTTCAACGGCCTTTTGGACACCACTTTGACGTTTTCCAGTGGAAGAAGGCGATTTACCAGGGGATGGTTTTTTTGCAGATCCAACTCTATTTTTTAACGATTCTTCTTGATGCTCTTTCTGGGAACTTCTGGGTATGAGATCAGCAGTTATTTGCGTTAGGGCTGATTTCTTTGATAAAGGGGTAGCCAATGGTTCCTCTGACTTTCGCTTTCTGCCCCTCTGACCTATAATACAAATTTGAACAGAATTACTAACCTAGTGGTAACAGTTTAAAACTAAAAAAGTAGCTATATGGCTGTGTACAAATACATCCCCTTTAAAAGATTTATAATAATTGTAAATTACAGGTTACAAACTGACGTTCTGATTGAAATGAAGTGTGAAAAATCATCAGGTTAATATTTGATTCCCAAAAGTTACCCAGAAAAAATGTTCAAAATTGTTTCAGGCGAACCTTAAAAATACAAATCAACATACAGTAGGACCACATCTGATAAAAATCCAAACATAAAATGGTACTCTCTATTTTACACAACTTCTGTTTGAAGCAAATCTTCAGAAACGTTTTTTTTCTTCTGATCTCGTTTTCAAAAGCATATATATATATATATAATATATATATATATATATATATATATATATATATATATATATATATATATATATATATATATATATATATATATATATATATATATATATATATATATATATATATCATTACAAATAATATTTTCTAACCTGATTTGGTAGAAGCCACAGGGGATACAGCTTTCCCAGATTTTGTAACTTGGTTTCTGTAAAAGACAACATATATAATGCTTAAACAAAAAAAAATAAAACATATTCCTCTTTGTCCAATATTTGTTTTTAATAACTGCCAGGTGCCCGCTAAAAGCAGATCTACAAACTGTGGACCTCTGGTGAAAAATGTGATGTAGTCATCCCAGTGAACAAATATTCAACTGTTCATTTTCTGACCTACAAGGACTTTAGGCTGCTCTAGTGTAGGTCAACAAAGATAAATTGAATATTTACACACTGATTTGAACACTTAGTAAAGGCTGTAAATTAATCTGTTTATAATTATAACTGGAAGCACCTCTATAAGAAGTCGCTTAAACTTAGCATCTTATTCTAATTTCGCCTGCAACAAAGGACACAAAGAACTCTTCAAAAATACCAGTAAAATAAAGCTTTCTCTACTCCTTTGCGTTCACTAACTGTAAACTCCAGGAAAGGTTCTGGTTGTGTGTCCACTTCTGAACTCTGGTTCCAGGACTAAGTTTTGCAGGCACATTTGTTTTACAGATCTGGCTTATTTATTTGATGGCTGTTGGTTCCTTGCCTTTTGGACAGATGCACCCTGACTTTGAAAGAAACTACCTTAATTAGTCGCCTTTTATGACATACTTGTTAGGGGACATTGAGTCTAACCCCCCCCCCCCCCCCCCCCCCCCCCCCAACGGGGCCCCAGAACACTCAGAGAGTACTGATATGATATACAAAATATTTTTGTCACAAACAACTGAAAGACCAGCTTTCTTCAACACAAGTTGAAATGTACTGTATTACCTTTTATAACATGAGATTGCCCAATTCTGCAAATATTAAAAGATGCCTATTCAGTGTTATAAATCATCCAGAAGGCAGATGATGTACCTAGGAAGAATTTTTCTCCTTTCTCTCCACTGATTTTGACATACTTTTAAAACAAAAAAAGCTACAAGATTTTTCTGTCCATGTTCATATAATATGTGCAATGAGATACTTACGCAGAAGATTTTCCATCATTCACTGTAGTATCATTTGACAACTGTCAAAGAGAGAAAATAAAAAGCATAAATGAATGACGGCTAAACAAATCACTAGCAATTCAAAAAGTTTTTGTTTTAAATATATAACCTTCTTTTGCCTGTTCACCAGCTGTAAACTCCAAAGGACAGTTCTGGTTGTTTATCCACTGCTGGACTTTGGTCTTTTTTTTTTTAGAACCTGAGTGTTGCGTACACATCTGTTCAACAGATCTGACTTAACTGTATGAAAATTGTTGGTTTCTTGCCTCTCAGGCAGATGCACTTCACCTTCAAACAAAGCTCCCAGTTAGTCGACTTACAACATGCTAGTTGGGGAGGCAGTGGGTCTATTCCCCCCCCCCCCCCCCAAAAGTTGCCCGGGGACTCACACTGCGAATTTATGTAATGAAGTAAAGCCAATAAACTCATATATATTTAGCCTTGCAGATTCACACAAATATAGTTATGTGTGGGTGTATATATAACCTGGCTGCATTACTTACAGAAATTATACTGTAATAATAAGTGCAAGCCATGAGTAAGTCTACTGTTAAAATAACAAAGACAACAAGTAACATATTGTAATAAGTAAGTACTGTTTTAATAATACACTTTGAAATGAAAAAAGCTGGAACATTTTACGAAGTCTAGCCCAGAAAGAGATTGACTTCCCTTGCCATCCATGGCCCATAAGGTCACACGACCTCTCCTAAAATATGGCTTGATTTGGCGTTCTCTCTGCATATTTAATATTTGTAGGAGATTATGCTGTCATGAGTCTATTTCAGGTGCCTATGTACAACTAAAAAGAACTGCAGGGGGAAAGCTGTACACATGTAAGCAGACCAAATTACATTATCGGGAGGCTTTTAATTATTCAGCATGTCTGAAAATTCATGACAAGCGGATTAGGCTAAACTGAAATTTTTGTTATTTAAATGGACATGAAAAAATGCTGACGGAAAACAAATTGCATTCACAACAGAATTTTGCCACATTGAATATCGCCTTATGCAGTCTGCACTGTACTGTGAAGTTTCAGGATACAAGACTGCTTACTGACAGTTTCTGGAATTAATTTTAAATGAGGTGCCCCTCTGGCTAATGCCGGGCTTATCAACAGTATGTATTTTGGGGTAGATACTGACTGCAAAATTAACATGTACATTATGGATTAGAAGATGACTGAGAAAGAACAAAAAGAACAACCCAACTGTTATTCAGAGATGACAAAAGCTGTTTGTAATGTATAACATGAAAACAATAAGAAACATTTACTTACTGTAGGAGTTTTGAACAAGTTGTCCACACCAACAGGGCTCACAGGAATCCCTTTTATCTTTGGTGTTTTCAACAGCCGCTTTACTCCTCTGGGACTGACACTAACTGCTATTTTTTTGGATGTCTTTATTAGCCTTCCAACCCCTGATGGACTAACTGGACTAGAAGCACCTGATGAAGTGAAAAGTTCTTTCACCCCAATGTAATTAACTTCTTGGCTGTGTTTCTTCAAGAATAGTTCCCTGACACCAGTGAGGTTTGTACTTTTCCTGCCGCTGTGGCCAGATTTACGATTTGAAAGTGGAGACACAAACATTTCATTTGGTCCGTTGGGAGTATCTGGAATGTCCGCGTACAAAGTACTTTCATTCACAACTGGTTCTGTAAACATTTCAGAGAGTCCTGTGAAGCTTGTATTGCCTAAAGATTTTCTGGAAGCCTTGCTCTGTAACAAGAAAAAGGTATAAAAGTGTTATCAAATTATGCATACCCCCTCTACTTTAGGATGTGAACTAACAGTTTCTTTTACTGAAAAATAACCTTTTAAGAATCTTAAAAACTGATCCTTTGCCAATCTGAAAAAAAAAAACACACCTCATCATCTCTGAAACTTTACCTAAGAAACTAAAGGAAGAGTTAGAAGAAATTTGGAGTTTTGGCTAGTTTATATAAAAATTGATAGGCGGCAAACACCAGACCAATGAGCCAAAAAGAATGAAGACCACTGCTGTTGTCTAGTAGCTAAAAATTATTCTTTTATTCACTGTTTCCAGGAAAAGAATATTCTACGTTGAGAAATACAAAAAATCAACTGCTTACCTTGCTCTTGGTTTTGTTGACTAAACCATGTGGAACAAAGCCATGCAATAATTTTTAAAAACGTGATTTTTCACATCCCATTATATTGCTTTCCATTTTTTATTTTTTCACACCCAGTCAGGAGGATTCCTAGTCCGCTACATGTAGGGTTAAAAGTACTTTTCTGAAGCAAGTTAAAGAATGTAAATATCTAGGAAGTATATTCTTGGAGGACAGGAGAATTGATCCATATCATTATATTTCCAGTTTTTAAAAAATAATTTTTCATACGCAGCCAGTAGAATTCCTAGTCCACTTCATATTGGGTTAAATGGTACTTGCCTGAAGCAAGTTAAAGAATTCAAATATCCAGAAAGTAATCTTGGAGGACAAAAGAATAGCCCAGGAAGTTAAAACAAGATGCCAATGAGCCAGTCCACTTGTTACCAAGTGACACCAAAATTAAGCCATTCAAACATAAGTATGACTGCCAAAACACATATTATAAACAGTATATTTCTACCAGTGCCAGACATGGACACTATCAATAGCTGACCTACATAAAATTAACACCTGTGAAATGAGATGCCTGAGAAAAGCCGCCAACTTAACCATTGAGATAAAGTTAGAAATGATATCAGACAGAGGGAACAACGCCTTGCAGCAAAGTCACTAAGAAACAGATTATCAAATGGTTTGGTCATCTAGTAAGAATGCAGTCAGAACAACTACCAATGCAAGCACTACATATGAAAAGATCAGATGTGAAAGCAAGAGGCCAGCAGGAAGCTGTCTCCTACTGAATGCCGTGACAGCGTGGGCGAGAGGGAGGCACTAGCCATTTTTTGGGCAGTAGGGAAGTTTACCCAATTTCTATATGGCAGTCACTTCTTTATCTTGACAGACCATCGTCCACTCGAAGTCTTGAACTCAGCCCCCATCAAGAACTCACGCATATATTAAGATGGATGATTTTTCTTCAGACGTTTAACTCCAGTTATTTATCGCCCAGGAAAAGAAAATGTCTTGGCCGATTTTTTGTCGCGCACACGAGATGCATTGAAAAGGAATTGATGTTTGTTTGTTGAATTTACATGATATTTAAAATGCATGCTGTTATGAAAAATAATTTGGATAACAATAATGATGTTGATAATAATGCTTAGTGAAGTCAGGAATCTATATTTTGCATTCACCTTAGTAATGTATTTATGATATATTGAGACGTGAATGTTTGTGTATTCAAGTGTTCTTGTTTGCTCTCTCGTATTGGTGCTGTTTGCCGCGACATGACTCCAGTTTTCCGACCGAGACTACGACAAGTCCTAGTGCTCGGTCGTCCTCGGGGAGGGGGGAAAAAGCTGACGCGTGCGGATGTGCACCAGAACGCACCAGTACGGAGTGAGAAAATAAGATGTCAAAACAATACATAACGTTGTGAAGGTATTGTTGTCAAAGGCAGTCGATGTTTATAGTCCGAAGGAGACGGACGTGTGGATCCTTGAGGACGCTTTACCCCAGGATCCCACGGAAGCAAACGTTATATAAAGTTGGATCCTTGGGGACGTTTTACCCCGGGACTCCAAGATAGACCTCAGCAGGATGCTGGTGAATGTTACATTTCGGCAGTAAGCCGGTATACCTTCATTATTTAATTCAGACGGCTGAACTGAATACAAAGATGATTGTCTGGCTCTCAAGGTCGGACTGCGACCTATCGTGAGGACATATCCGTCCATGGATGTACGAGCGAGCTTTGGTTGATGTGCTTGATTATTAATTGCATATGTATCCTTTGTGTTGATCATAGCTGATCAATACAACCGTTGGAACTTAACGCATAGCGTTCGAGCTCTACCTTTTGAAAGCATTGAAGTAACTACTGTTTTACCCCTACTTGGCCTATTTCATCTTGGTACGACACACATCAGCATGAAGCGCCTACGCACGCCACAAATACCCAGTTAGATAAACATAGATGCAGCTGCAACCAGCTGTTATTTCAGTTTAATGACCACTGCCCAAAACTCGCTAATGATAGAGAAATGATTGTTGCGAGGCGTTTGGGCTACTTGTAAGATCAATCTAATAACCATGGTGCAATGACAGGGTCTCACCCAAACAGTAAACTAATCACAGCAGCATGAGACAGAAAAGTTTCACACCACCCTGGTATGGCAAAGGGGTGTTTGGAGTTCCAACGATACCCGGAACTATGTAGACTGCAGCATAGCTACTGTTAGGGTATCTAGTCAGGCAGGTCATAGGACAGAAGCCAGATAAAGACAGTCAAACGTTGTCTTGCTGCTTGACTGGAGGCTGCCAAAGGACAGGGGGAAAAAAGACCTTTTTAAGCTAATAATTGGATATGCACAGTTGCTTTTAATGTAATGACAGTCACATTTTAAATATGACAACCTGCAATAACAAGACAATAGAGCAGCATGGTTTAAAAACTATTCTCATTTTAAAGCAAAACATGCTAACTTTGTAAACCAATATTCTTCAGATTTATCAGATGCCTAGTTTCACTATAAAAAGTTGTTTATCTGGGTAGGCATACTATTCTCGGTGAAAGATCCAATCTCTTCCACAGGTCTGTTTGGCATGCCTCACATGTCCCCCCCAAAAAAAAAAACAGTCTAATACATACAAGACGCATTTTCTGTTCACTTGTGAAGACTGACAAAACACTGCAAATTTTTCTGTGTGGGTTCCGGGGTCTCTTTCTTGGGAAAAACGAATAAACCCATTGCCCATTTACCAAGAATGTCACAAAAGACGACTAATTAAGGGTGTCTTCTTCTAAATCTGCCTCAGAGATAAGGAACCAGTAGTCTGCAAAAAAATAAGCTAGATCTGTAAAACAGGTGTGCATGCAAAATTCACATTCTGGAACAAGACTAAAGTCCATCAGTGAACAAACAACCACAGCTTTCCTTATTTTCCCAGTCAGTGAGCACGAAGAAGACTGGAATCTGACTTAGAAATATTAGTCTAAAATATTTGAGTGACAGATAACACCCAAATATGCCAGGTAAATTCAGTCAAAAACTTCATTTAAATATTTACATGGGTACCATATTTTCAATTTGTGGTGTTATGGGTAGAGGTGATTTTGTACTTAAATTATCCAGCAATTACTGACATGTCTATAGTCCTAAACTAAATGCACTAATCTGGAAATCTGTAAAAAAAATAAAATTTAAAAAAAAGGGACATACCAAAGATACTTTTCTCCCTTTGCGTGGCAGCAGTTTTGGTGTCCTTATCGCTTTAAATTTTCTGCCCACGATGATTGTTGCTGGTGAGTCTGCATGACCTGTAGTTGGTGCCAAAGCCCTAGCCAAAGCTCTTGGTGTTTTGGGAGTCTTATGAATTTTCTGAGTGAAAAATTGATGGAAATATTCTATTAGTTTAGTGAAACAAGCAGGTATAAAATGTGCATGTTGAAAAAAAATGTGGTAGATAAATAATGAAAGATCAAAACTAAAGCTTCCGAAAGTGGTTAAAGAGTATTATATCACAGTGGGAGACGAATTTAAACAATATTACCTGTTTATAAGATTTGTTGGAGAAAAAAAGATAGTGGCCATAAAGTGACAAACTGCTCTGTAAAGACATGTGGGGTACTGGAGATTTTAACACCCCCTTGCGTGTTCTAGCATACCACTGGAAGACAGTGAGAAGGAGAGAATAGACCCACTGCTCCCAACATGCATGTTGTAAAATGTGACTAGATAAGGAATTTACTGAAATCAGATGTGCTGGGCATAAAGATGTAACTACCACAGCCTAGCCAAAAACAGACTACAAAATGACATGTCAACCGCCCATTTTAAAGGGCAAACACACAATATTTAATTTAGGCAACTATCAATGTAAAAGCACATCATTTTTTAAACTGCTGCCAGCCAACAGAAGACACTGTCCTGACAATATTTTCAGCACAGATTTTAAACAGAAATACTTCCTGCAAACACTGATTCTACTTTAGAAGGTAAAAACAAAGTAACGGCATTGTTTCTATAACTTAATCATTTTACAAATCTGGGTCATGAACTTTGTGGGAATTCCATAAGCACCCCCCCCCCCCCCATCCTTAACAAACAACGAATTTGCCTAGGTCATTAATGAACTTTTTAAAACATGTACACTTATAAAAACTAGGTCATGAGCCTGCGGAGCCCTTCGCCCAATATCCTTAAAACAAACAACTATTTTGCTTAGGTCACTAATCAACTTCAAAAATATGCATTTATCAACATTTTAGAAAATGTTTTTGTAACATAAAGAAAGAAATCAAACATGAATGTAGCGAAGCATGAAATTAACATATTCTACCTGATCCTTAAAGAAAATATGCATCGGGTTATTCTGCATGACCACACCACATGCTTAAGGGACCATTTTAATGTCACAATGGCTTTAAACAGCAATTTGGGTTACAATTACACCCCCACACTATATTTAATAAATATATTCATAAAAATGTATTATTCTACAATAGTTAGGTTAAATGTAAAGGACCCATTTCCATGCCATCAGATGAATTGGGCTTTTAGGGCTAGACCTACATTTTATAGATAAAACGCACTCAGTGGGTGATGTGGTCAACATCCTGTCGGTCGTCTTTACTTTCCATGACTGTAACTGGTAGCTATATGAGGCTAAGTGTACCTGGGAGCCAAGGTCATTTTTTAGGGGGGAAACTTCAGCTCAGAGAGTGCCTGAACACATGACCTTTGTATCCGCAGGTAAGCATCTAGCCACTACAACATGGCAGTTCCCATGTTAAATGTACTCTCCTTAAAATAAAATTATTATTCTTCAGATAAAAATATTAACAAAGCTGGGAGGCAAAATAGGACAGCAACTGCAGCAATTGAGAAATTTACTAATATAATCTCAGTCTAGTGATGTATTTTTAAGAATGTTACATTCTCAGTGTACATCCACTGGTAAGAACTGACACATTCAGCACTTGTGTGAATGGAGCATCCAGTCATGCATATATGCAGCAATATTCTCATGACTTGAATAAAACATCAAAATTTCTTTTTAATACAAAGTCAATGAAATGTTAAAAGTTAATACACTGCAGACCTGATAGGGAGAACTAAAAAAATTGTTATAAGAAATCCTCTTATTAAGATAAAAGAGTTCAAGCAAGAAAAATTGTCGAGGATAAACAAATTGTTCTTCACAACGGAAATTCACCTCAAGTGGTCTGTACTGTAATAGATTATAGCGTGCCCCGTGAGTTTCCATATATGGGGGAAAATATATTATCTACACCAATACCAGCATAACTCTAGTTGTGCTTAGTGGAAGACACACATCAAAATGGATACCCTGTAGATTTACTTAATGCTTAATCTTTTTTGAAGAAAAATGTAATACCTTATTTAGTTTTGGTGAATTCCTTTGGGCGGCTGGTTTAATGGTTGTCAGCCCAACAATTCTGGCTGGGGCCGGTTTTTGCACACCAGACTTCACAATATCAGACCATGTTTTTTTGGCAGGTGTTTTTCTGAATATGCTTGAGGCTTTATTTTTAGTGGATGTTGGCGTCTGCACTTTAAATGTGGCGCGTTTAGGGGTCAGGCCATGTCCGTGAATTGCCCTCAGAGCAACTACCTTTTTGAAATCTTGTGGGGGTGAAATAATTTTTTCGGCAGGACTGTTTTTCATCGCTGGTGTTTTCTTTGCCGAGGAAGGATGTTTTTCAGATGGAGGTCGCCCAACTGGACGTTTCACTGATAAAGGCCGTCCCACAGGGCGTTTCTCTGATGAAGGCCGTCCCAAGGGGCGTTTCTCCGATGAGGGACTTTCTGCAGGTTGTTTATTTTCTGTGAGAGGTCGCCCCACAGAGCGATTCTTTTCCGCAGCTGAAACCAAAACAGGAGTTTCTAGAAACCTTCTTGGAGTCTGACTGTACCTCTTCGACAGAGAAGGCTCTGGTGTAGCACTAAGAGGAGATTTTTTTGGCCCAGACTTGTCACCGCTGTTCAAACTTACAGAGACTGCACTGTGCATTGAAATGTCCGGGGTGCTGAATAGTGTAGAAACTCCTGAAAAACTGACATTAGAAGATTCTGCTCTTGGTGATATCTTCTCATTGACACCTAAGAGAGACACTTCCTGTACTTTTTTAACACCAGGTGTTTTCACAAGAGACTTCAAACTAGACGAGGAGCTCACCCCATCGTTACTTTTTCTATTTCGTGGTGTCTTAACCAAGTTACGAAGTCCAATGGGACTGATTGGGGAGACAGGAATATGCTTCACTTTTGGAGTTTTCATTATTCTTCTCAATGCAGCTGGTGAGATGTTTGCAGCCTGCTGGTGTTTTGGTGTCTTGAAGATTCTTTTAATGCCAACAGGACTCAGAACCTCTGTAGTGGTGTATACTTCTGTTCTCTCAAATGTCAGTAAAGTCTGCCCCTGGTTCGAGGTGGCTCTTCCTGCAACAGCTTTAGGGCTAACTTGAGAAAACAAATCCTGTGATAGCATTGGTGATGTGGACAGTTTTCTTGCTTTGGCAGAAGTGTTGGCATTTGGCAAAACATCACTGCCTGAAGTATTCAATGGTGTGTTCTTTGGAGACAAACTTGCTCTAACTGATAGAGATGTTTGAAGAGAGATATGACTTTGCAGGCGTAATAGACTTCCTAAATGAAGAATCAGATTTTGACTGGGATGGAGGCCGGCCCACAGGGCGCTTTTTTGCAGAAGAAACAGATGCACTACCTCTGGGTGAGATAGATGTTTGGAACAAAGAATTGTTTGGCAAAACACTACCACCTGACATTTTAAATGGTGTGTTCTTTGGAGACAAACTTGCTTTAACTGATAAAGATGTCTCAAGAGGAGAATTTGACTTTGCAGGCGTGATAGACTTCCTAAATGAAGAATCAGATTTTGATTGAGAAGGAGGCCGGCCCACAGGGCGCTTTTCTGCAGAAGAAACAGACATACTACTTCTGGGTGAGATAGACGTTTGGAAGAAAGAATCATCTGGCAAAACACTAACATCAGACATTTTCAATGGTGTGTTCTTTGGAGACAAACTTGCTCTAACTGACAAAGATGTTCCCAGAGGTGAAGAAGACTTTACAGGTGTGACAAACTTTCGGAATGAAGAATCGGATTTTGACCTAGATGTAGGCCGGCCTACAGAACGTTTTTCTGCAGATGAAACCGAGAAACTTCTTCCAGGTGTCGCAGAGCTCTGAAAAGACAAACTTGACCTAGAGGGAGGTCGGCCCACAGAGCCCTTTTCTGCAGATGAAACCAAGAAGCTTCCTCTAGGTGAGACAGACTTTCTGAACGAAGAATCAGATTTTGATCTAGATGAAGGTCGCCCTACAGAGCGTTTTCCTGCAGATGAAGCTGACAAACTTCTTCTAGGTGTAACAGAAATCTGAGAGAGACTTGCCCTAGATGGAGGCCGACCCACAGAGCGCTTCTTTTCTGTAGACGAAGTGGGTGAACTTCTTTGGGGTGATTTAGGAGAACTTGCAAAGCTAGAGTTTCCAGACAATAAAGGAGAACTACCTTTCTCTAACTTTGTATTCGGAGACAGAACTCCCAGATCTGGTGCTGAATTTGTTACGGCATGGCTCAGTAGCTTTTCCTGAGTCAGGTACTCTATGATAGAGGTACCATCGTCTTCCAGTTTAACCAAAGTCTGAGTATTTCTTTTGTTAGCAGGTGACAGTTTTCTTCCTGGTGAGCCGACAGCTGAGGTTTCATTCTCAGACCCACCCCTGGGAGATCTTCGAGAATCTGATTCATTAAGTCCAGATTTAGGGGACTGTAGTTTTGAACGATCGGGACTTGCAATCGCTGGAGAAAAAGCTTCAGTGTTTATACTGACTTCAAACACTTGTGAGGAGGATGGTGTGGAAACTACTTTGATAGGTGACTTAGTGCGGGGAGACAAACTCTTTCTTCCTGGGGATTTAGCCTTTAACAAAGATTTTCTTTCTTGTTTAATAATCCTGCTTGGAGTTGCTCCCTTTTTGATTGGAGTTTTAGGAGGTAATGTTTTGTCAAAATGTTCAGGGCTCAGATTTGGACCAAAAGAGACCCTTTTTCTCTTTGCACTGAGAAAATCAAAGGCAGTAGATTTCCTTTTATTACCAACTTGCACAGATGGAGTCGCAAAACCTGAAACATAACAACAATAATATTAATGTAACATAAGTTACTCATGTTAATTATAAACTTTACTTCCGATGCGTATTTTTTTTAAAATGCACACTATGTTTTATCATACTGTAAAATATAAGTGTCAATTTATTATTGGGAAAAAACGTGAATTTTTTTTTAAAATAAACAAAACTGTCCATAGTGTATGTAATGAGACATGCCTAACCTTGTGTCCTGACTTTTGTTTGCACCTGGACAGGGCCTTCCTCTGTCTCAAACACGGGCACTGAACGTCGTCTTAGATCACTTATAGTCTTCCGAAGGCTTCCTGGGGTCTTAGAGTAGGGACTGCCTGGATTTTTCTGGAAATAATCATGCATACATAAGTACTAATTTTTTTAAATAGGTAAACTGATGGATGGCGCTGTTAGCTTTACTTTACCTAACATTTTCTTGTACCAATTTTAGGATAGGCCGACATGAGGGCCAAGGTAAATTTCCCACAAATTCACTTGGTAAGACATAAGACCTTTAAGCGTCTGTATATATGTTTCTCAAAAAGTAACGTTAATGCAGGGACATACAACAGGAGTCTTGCATAAGGTCCCGTAAAACGAGAACAGTGTAAGGCTGGTGCCTGAGTGTTGTACGGAGTGTCTCCTTATACACTTCATGTCAAACTAAACTTTCCCTCACGCCTGTGACCGAAATCACAGTGCCACGTTGTTAATATCAACAACTATGTTTCAAAAAGAAGAGCAATTGTAGTTATTAAGCACAACTCCGTGTAAAAATATGTGTACACTAAATATATTTCTCTGAGCAACTGCTCTTGTTCAGGGCTACCATAAATGCACATCACCACCAACATCCACTAAATGGGGACTCATAAATCTTAGGATATCTTGATTCTTGTAATTTGTTTCTATGGTTTATTACAAATGACCATAAGTACACTTGCCAGTCAATGACTGGAACGATAAACAGGAAAATCCTTGACATTACTGGCTTCAGCAGCGATTAATGAATAATAATTTTGAGAATGAAATCTGACAGTTACTAATTTGAATAAAGAATCCGCATCATAGTACTCGGGACACTCCCATAAACGCTCCACCACTATGCGAAGAGTTCCAATTATGATCGCCTTTCCTAATACTAAGTTACTAACAGAATCTCCTGTGTGGGTCCCGGGGCCCTATTATAGGGAAAACAAGAATAGGCCCACTGCCTACCCAAAAGCACGTCGTATGAGTCGACTAATTGGGAGCTTCCTTCGAACCAACAGTCTGCACACAAATGATTCAGATCTGTAAAAGGGATGCACACGCAACTCTCAGGTTCTGGAACAGGACTGCAGTCCAGAAGTAGACGAACAACCAGAACTTTCCACCAAAGTTTACAGCTGGTGAACGCAAAGAAGAAGAAGAAAACCGATATAATAGTATACAAAAAATAGCCAGGTGACCGGAATGTCTACAAGCCGTGACATAAAGTGCAAATGCTGAGATTTCTGAAGTAAAGAATTTAGTTTACAAGGTTTTTCCCGTGTGAGTTCTGGTTCCTATTGTGGGGGAAAACAAGAACCCACTGAAACCCCAAAAAGCAGGTTGCAAGAGTCGACTAATTGGAGGCTTTCTTTGAAGTCGGAGTGCATTTGGCCTAGAGACAAGGAACCAACGATCTGCATACAATTAAGTCAGATCTGTTAAACAGATGTACACTCAACACTTAGGTTCTGTGACAAGACTAAAAGTCCAGAAGTGTACAAACAACCAGAAAGAAAAGGAAGTAGAGGACAGCACAAAACAAGAATACCTGTCTAGTAGCAGCAGGTGATTTCTGAAATGCTTGGTTTACTGGTCCCCCTGATGGAATGCTTGACAATACACTGAAATCTTGAGAACTGCCTGGTGTAAGCGGTGCTTGGTAGAAGGCAGGTGGAGACATGCTAAAAGAATCAGGTGAGCTTGCCTTTTTAGCTGAACCATGCAACTGGCGTCCAGTTTTGGGCGAACTGAACTGATCATCATTTACCACAGCTACTGGCTGGCCAGAAACTTTACTGGCAGAACGAGGTGATTTTATGCTTTCGGGTACATTGTCTGTCCTTGGACTAAGAGGGGTCACTGGGGTTGAACGCTTTGAAAAACTTGAGTTTTTCTCACCACTTGCTGACAGCCTCGTCTGAAAATATAATATCAATGCTGTGTTTTGAAAGGTACCAAAAGAAAGGTTAAATACAGCCAGAGTGAAAACTGAATTTACAGACTTCATCCGCTGCAGTGTCCCACCGTGAACTGTGAGAACAAACAACAGAATATTTCTTGTAAGACTGTCTTATACAGCCTGTTAAGAATGGAATATTATCACAATAAATCAATGCAATACTTAAAGCTGTGTGGAAAAAAAGAAACTTAAAAAAAAAAAAAAAAAAAAAAAAAAAAAAAATACTAGAAATTTGCTGGCCCATGCAATTTAGTGATACGATCCAAAAAACTGAAATTTCATTTAGGCATATTAATGCTTTGAATTAGCCATTAGCTTGGATGTAATTTGACTACAGAAAGCAAACCTTGCAACAACAACAAAGAAATACCATACTCTGAGGAGCAGAAATTCTTCTTTTCTCCCCAAGAGGAATGAAAAAAGAAATATACTAAACACTCAATTAAATATAAACTAAAACCAAACAATAAAGACAAATTAAAGCCTTACCATGGATGCCCGTTTCGGAGTTCGTGGACTCTTGTACTTTGGCGATTTGTGAGGGTAAAACTTTGAATCAGTTGGGAACTCAAACCGGAACTTTCGATCTACTATGGTTATAATGTCCCCATGAGATAAAGCTGTCAAAGCCTCTGATAATGTCTTGTCATTGATGAGTGTTGAGCTTGCTGTACTCATGCTCTGAATAAACACCTGAGGGAAAATGTACAACAGGATCACATAAAGACACGTAACCAAAATATGTATGCTATAATATACATTACATAATGTTCTATATCAGGGCTATTCATAAAGTTTACTCAGGGGCCAACATTTTAAAAAATGAGGATCCTCATGAGCTAGAACTTCAACATAGAAAAATGTCCTTTGTTGTATTGCCCTGATCTATGTCAATCAATGACAAGCTAATTATAATTCTACTAAATAACACACTGGTCTGTAATTAAACTGCAACATGATCATCAAGTGCCTTGAAGGCTAGAATAGGCAATCACTGCCTCTCCATAACATGATTGACGATAGCATATATCAGTTCCATTTGCTCACTCTTCCATGCCATGACAATAGGGGGATTAGAATCTATTACTTTGCTTTTCTCTATCTCTCTTTCCACAAATCTTTTCAGTTGTCACAAAATGTTCAGCTTCTTTCTTCTCAGAATGAAGCACAAACACACACAAAATGATGACCGCTTTAAAAAAAAATTATAACCTGTCTGAGTCTTTGCCTTCTTCAAAACATGGATGGCCAAGAAATTTTAACTATTCTACTGTAAAAATGTGCTGATGAAAGCTCTATAGCCGCAATGTTCATGTTTTGTTTGTATTTGTTATATTGTGAAGTTTGCTAATATACTTTTCGTTCAGTTTTATATCTTTTTTTTAAATACTGTAAAACTAATACTAAATCTCCACTGGACACAAGATCCAATACGCAAATAAGACAAGAGACCAAGCAAGACAATTTATCAAAATTTTATCAAAAAGTGTCACTGGCACTAAATCAACCATGCACTCAGAATGGAAAAGACAAGACTTCCCTTTCCCATCAAGCCCTAGTATGGACACAGGAAGGGAAAAGAAAATGGAGAAGAACAAGAAAGACTTTACGAAGAATCATGAACGGGGAAGGCCATGGGCGTAACACCCAAGACCTAAAGCAAATAGCAACGAACCGCCGCCACAGGGTTCTACAGACATGAAGTGCTATAACCTCGGCCCTATGCCCAAGAGGAAAGACTAACTAACTGTAAAACCACATTCCTGGGGCTTTGAGTAAATTGTTTGACTTGTTTACTAATTGTTTAGGATTTATAGCCATAGGTTAACTGGCTCTTTATAGCATGCTGGAATCCTCTTTTTAACATTAACTGAAGGGTGTTTTTTTTTAAATAAATAAAATGCAATTTTTGTCTTTTCCATTCTTTTCTTTATGTGTGTTACATCTTCCATATGTTATATATGCGCCTAGGTTAGGTTTGTGCTTGTCCAAAAATAAAGCTATTGACTTCAACTGTAAACCATGGCGTGTATCTACCAATGTATGTGACATCATGACACTGTTAGTTATTTAAACATCTGCAAAACCTTTTTTTTTCTTTTCAAATTTGTTGGTTCTGGTTATATTTTTGTGTGTTTGGATGATCTTTAAATTGAATGAACTCAGAAAAGGTGAAGAAAATAAAAATGTCTAGACAAATACTGGTTTCAAAATGTGGGAAAAGCTGGAGAAATACTGGGCACATTTTGAAACAACATACTGAATATATTCTGAGATTAAACAGACAAAGAATCACACAAAAAGCCACTACAACAAGCAAAAAATGAACTAATAAAACAACATCTTAAAGAAATCCTATATTGGAAATTGATGATAAAGGTGGCCAAAAATGTTGGACCGGACTCCAACGGGATGTAGAAAATATTAACAGCCAAAGGGGCATTTAATTATTAGACAGCGACATTTGCACAAAGACAAATAATCACAAACAAAAGAGACAAACCCAGGTCTCCCGCATGATCCATGAGCACCTCCTTTATGCTGTATGTGTAAACGTGTTAAAACAGAATTGACTAGTACTCACATGCTCTTTTTCATCTACTAAAATCTGACACTGTGAAGTATCCACAGTTGGCAACTGTATCCTTATATCTGAGTCAAAACCTCTGTAGAATAACAAATACTAAGTAACAACATGTTGAAATCTGTCTCCACCTAGAATATTTAAAATAATGATAGAAATAACTTATCAGGCAATATAAGCAAATCTAGTGAGCCGCTGTGGTGTATCAGCTAGACCAGGGCTATTCAACTGGCAGCCCGTGGAGGTCTAGCAAGTGGCCCGCTGGTCATTGGCAGGTGTATTGTTTTAATGATCTTTATATGCTGGGGCTCTGGCATCTGGCCCGTGATGATCCCCATTTAAAACATTATGGCCTTGAGCTAGACGATCACCAGCGCTGTGGGTTCAAATCCTAAAAGAGCTGAAATTTTTTTTCTCCAAATATGAACCTGGCAGTTTCATCGAGCCTCAAATAGGTACCAGTTAATGTCTGTGGGAAGTAAAATCAACCAGCGCGATGATGACCACAGCACCCAAGTGCTGATTGGTCTATAAAATAGATGTATTGCTATTTGTCTATAAAATATATGTCTAGCCCTACCTATATGTCTGAAGGCATGGGGGAAATAAGGAACTTTTACAAGCAAATCTGAACATCTTTAATTTAAATGAATTAATAATATAATGGCATATTCTGTTGCGCAATATATTCTTTGCGTCATTTAAATTCCCAGAGGAAAATGTTTTGAATCTCAAATGTCAATACACAGATTATATCAATTTTATGCTTATGTGAGCAACCTTAAAAAGGAAAAGTGGTTGGCACATTGTGTTATGGTTTACAACTAGACTAATATCTGCACCTTTTGACCCAACACATCAGACATAGAAAGGACTACATTAGTCCAAATTTACGACATCAGTAACAGTGGATCTACTGCACCTCCTCCCTGTGCGAAACACCAGGGTATTCTTTCTGCAAGTAACAGAAGGCTAAACTTCAAATTAAGCAGATAAATCTACATTACTACATAAAGACTGTTTTCTCAATATGCACAAATGCACAAATTAAATTACCTTCCAAATACACAACATCTGGCTGTCAGCGGAAAATGTGCCCCATCAGTTCCATTGCGCTTGATGACAATCACTTTTCCATAAAGATGCATGATCTAAACAGCAAAAAAAATTATAAAAGGGTGATTCAATAGTCTTGTAACAAGACCGCTGGTTACTAAACACTTTAATCTATGAGAAAAATAAAAACCAGATCAAGAAAGCCATTAGAACACGTTCCATTCAAAACAGAATGCTGAAGATCCAGTCAACCCTTTTACACAAAATAAACATACCATTGTATTTTATTTAGACTGCAAAGTCAACAGCTGGCTGATGCAAACAAACAGCAATATCATATTTAACGTTATGATATACACTTCTTTCCCGACTTACACCTATGCGATTCATTACGACCAAAAAAAAAAAAAAAAGCCAAAAAAAAATTAGTAATGGTAGCGTCAAAAAGTTTATGAAACAAATGTATTTTTCTCATTATTTACAAAAATTACATGTACAAAGTTTAAATCTGCAAATCTCATGTACAATTATTAGTACCTGATTGAATAAAAATAGTTCTGTAAAATATAAATTCAACTTACAAAGAAGCAACAAGGAAATTGTAAGATTTTGCATGAAGAAAATCAGTAATAATAAAAGACTCATTCAGGAGTATTCCCAATGGCCAAATATAAAATCTAAAGCAGAACTGCAGAATTCCCTTTGCTAAAATTTTTAGAACTAATATCATTATGTTTTGGGACCCAAATATTATCTAAAATCATCATTGCGTAGGCTCATGTTTTACCAACTTACCACAAATTCACCAAAATCTCAGATTAGGTCAATGGTTTTGACTTGCCTTTCCCCATTCAAAAAGCATGTATTTATTTTACCTTCACTTTGCTTTCTTTCCATTTGGCAGTTGCTATCTGGTTATCAAAAAAGAGCAACCAAGAGGTTTTGAAAGAGGCGGAAGCCCAAAGACAACTTATCACCGACATCAGAAGGAGAGAGTCATCATTTTTTGGCCATGCCAATGTTATGAGAAGAGGGAAAATTAATAGAACACGTGACCACTGGAAAGATCTGTGGAAGGAGGGATAGAGGAAGACAACGAGAGAAGATGCTTGACAGTCTTGTTGCATGGCATGGAGGTGTGTCGGCACACGAACTGATATATGCTGCAGGAGATTGCAGATTATGAAGAGGCATGATCGCCCACGCCAGTCTGCAAGGCACCTGATGATGATGATATCTGGTTATCACCTCGAGTCCATTCCTTCCCAAAACAGATAAATAAATAACTATGTCTGGGAGTAAGAAAACACTCACTGAAGTAACTGTCTCTGCATCTAAATCTGTCTATCTAAAAATCTGAACATCTGTAAATCAAATAACTGTGAAATCATGATTACTAAACTGGTGCCATATTGAACTATTTTTATTTTCTCTGAGGCTCGTGCCAACTTTGGGCTTACCATCTTGAGAGAAGTAGTTGGTTACTTTTCTTCTAGGCATTGATCACAACTGGTCAGGTGTGATGATTGTCACTATTATTTTCACTATACTATTACTTTTACTATAGTAAGTATAGTGTGATGTGTGATCGATCCTGTCTATGGTTGGGGAAACTTGAGACCATGTCCAACAGTTTTATGTCAGCTGCTGCTCTGTTCTTAAGTTCAATCCTCAATAACTGAACTGCTCCCATGATGGACTCAGGTTACCAGACTGACAGTGCTAAACATGTAAACTGAAACTATAGAATAATCCACCCAAGAGTATTCAATTCCACAGGCTAGAGAGAGGAGAGAAGGAGGCAAATTACTTATCTGACAGGCCTGCCCCGCTACCCAAAAATCATTTCATTGTGTATGGTGACATGAATTTAACTATTTACTTAATTTACTTTCATATATTTGGGAGCCGCCGTGATGTAGCGGCTAGGCGCTTGTCTGTCGATCAGAAGGTCATGGGTTTGGGTTCTGAGAGAGGACTTTACTTTTGTGAAAAAAAATTCTAGGATCCAAAAGCGGCTCAGCTTTGCGGAGCAGGTGAAGTAACAGCGGCCGGTTTGATGCTGACTAGATCACCCCTTACGTGCTGATTGGTTATATAATAGTATACAGGCCTAGCCCTATAAATAGGTCCTTTCTTTACTCATTTTGAAAAAATTAATTAAATTATAATTAATTAAATGTAAATTAAATTAGACTTAGAGAAACAGCAGTCAAACAAATACGATCTCAAGTTGTTGAATGTAGAATTATTTAAAATAAAACGTCACTAAAAATGCACAGGTGCAGAGACAGATTGTGATTAAATTACTTATTTGCGTCAAACAAATGATGAAGTAATAATGAAGTAGTTTAGTAGTAGAGAGAAAATAAAGAAACTAAGGCGGGATCCGGAATTGGTTATTATTATTGTCGTCAAAGTCCAGTACTTAACTTTAAAAATTACATGCACAAATTTAACAACGCCAATAATTTACCTATAAACTGAGTCAGTTTAATAATATTAACAATTACGAGTGTGTAAGATTAGATTGGAACCCCGAAAAAAACAGGCTGATGGCGGTAAAAAAAAAAGCCATGCAATATCAATAAACATTACAAACAGCCACATAATAACTATTCTTTTCACATAAAATGCAGCATATGCATCGTAAATAAGGGATAAGATAAATGAAAACAAAATGTTATACTTACTGCCCTTAAAATTTAACAGAATATAACAATTCTTTTAAAAATCCCAACAACAATCACATTGTCCATCGAACGTCGCCGCCTCGGCTTCTATAACCTATTTACAGTTTGAATCGACCAAAACCAAGTAAAACGAACAAATTAGTTCCGTACTTATATCTTTCTAAGCCTCTAATAAGCATTATACTTGATAAATGCATCAATGTAAGTTTACTTCGTTTTTGCTTTTAAATTAAATTAAAAATTTTACTCAAACATTAATAATCAAAGTTTAATTGTAAAGGAATATATTTCGGTTTTCTATTTTTAATCCAGCGGAGTAATATCTGCATGTTTTCAAAAATCAAAGCAGCGCGCGGGCCAAAGCTATAGTGGATGGTCGTAAGAATTAGTTTCGTATAGGAGAAACTAGCAAGGCGAGAGATAATTTGATTACTTTGTTAATTTCATTTATTATATTAAGAGCTGTTTTACGACTCTTTAAAAACCTTATTTTATTTTTTTAAACAAACACACATCAAGCAATCCCGATGTGTTAACAAGCTAAAGACCACTTATCACAAACCCTACAAAGAGTCATCCATGTGTTCACTTTGTGAGAAGAAAGAAACTTAACCTGTGACTAGTGGAAACATCTGTAGAGAGAGAGAGACAAAGAAAAATATTCGGAGAAGATTCTTGACGGCCTATTGTCATGACATAAATATCAGATAGAAAAAAAAAACCACTGACATATGTGGTGGAAGATTGCAAGTTGCGGAGAGGCTTGATCACCAAGGCACTTGATGGTGGTTATTCTCAACCAGGCGCGGTTCCCCTAAAATAAATTAAGAAAACATTAGGGGGAGGGCTCACCACTTAGGCACAAATTTTGCGTCATTCACCCCGACCCCGATTTAGTCAGAAAATACTAAGGAACCCACAAACACGCCTTCCTCAGTACCTTATTAATTTTCTAGGCAAATTGTTGGGTTTGGGGGGGGGGGGGGGCACAAAATCCTTTTATAGTATTTAAAATATATTGTAATAGTTATTTGCCATTCAGCACATTGTTGTTATTATTGTTGAATAACAAATAAATGCAATGATTTATTTGAAATAATATGAAATTATAAGCATTTACTTTTCAAGACAGTTTATATACATGTTTACATGAGGTCTCTTAAGTATTCTGACAAAATTATTTATTTGGGAGAGATAAGTCATCCACCCCACCCCAAGGTTTCGGCATTTATATTCACCAAAAATAAGTGTTGTTTTGATCACTGGGAAGTCTATTTTATGCAATTTAGGACATGATCTTATGTCCTATCGTGTCCCCCAGATTCCCTACGTCGGCTTCGAGTTGCTACCAACTGCAAATATTCCAGCATCCTACGTATTAACTTGCTGGTTAGCTCTGGTTATTATATTTTTAACGTCTGTGACGGCGCGAGCCATTCCAGGAATAGAGAAAAAAGAAGAACGTCTGTGGAAACTGATAAATATATAATGGGACGAATTCGACAACGGCTAAGAAACAAACAATACAGTATATAATGCCTACTCACACACATTGAAAAGATAATTTACCTACCCTATAAAACTACTCAGAGCCAGAGGCGTCACATCCTAGAGGGCTCAGAGGCATAGGGGCCGCAACCTGGCTGTTCAGTCCCGTAACATAATATAACCCTTGAGCAGCTACGATAGTGGGGGTGTATCGATTGAAGCAGCAGCATACAAGCACCTTCTCTTTTTTCTGCTAGTTGAACACGTTTATAGTCTTCTTCTTTTTCGCGTTCACCAGCTGCACACTCTGGCAGAAAGTTCTGGGTGCTCGTCCACTACTGAACTGCAGTCCTGCTCCAGAACCTGAGTGTTGCGTGTGCATCAGTTTTACAGATCTCATTCTCTTGAATACAGACTGTTGGTTCCTTGCCTCTCCGGCAGATGCACTCCGACTTCAAAGGAAGCTCCCCAATTAGTCGACTCTTACGACATGCTTTTAGGGAGGCAGTGGGTCTATTCTTGTTTTCCCCACAATGGGGCCCCGGAGCCCACACGGGGGGACGTTTATAGTAATTTAGTTCTGTCCATTTCTTGATGTCTTCTTTCCCCAACTCTTCTTCGATTCTCTCCACCCCCTACCATCCCCTCCCCTCTTTCCGTGTTCTTTGAAGTACAGTCTTTGTAATCGAATCATGTCTCAGGATGTGTCCCAACCAAACTAGCTTGCGACCTTTCACCACAGCCAAAAACATGCTCCTGCTGTCTTGCTACTACATTTGTTTATTATGTATCTTACATGTCTAATAGTTTTATGTTCTAAATAGCTAATTCAGAAAAGGCTTCCACATCTTCTTCAGCTGGGACTGTGTACGTTGCCATATTAAGTATTGCCCTGATCTCTTTGGTATAAA